TTGGTCCTAATACAGGGCTTTCATCTCCATTTTTAAAGCTATTATTTTAAAAAGCCTCAGCACCCATTGAAGAAGCAGGTAAAGAGAGGTCAGCTGGACCCACATTTCTCACCCTCAGTGGTGAGGAGTGGGAGTAACCCCTGTGCAAGGGCCCAGAGCTGCACTGAGGGGCCAGAGGGGCCCCTCTCCCCCAAGAGCAGCTGAGCCAGGGCAGCAGCAGAACCTGTTTGAGAGCCACCCTGAACTAGTGACCCTCCTGACTGTCACACTGCCTGAGGGGTGACACACAGCCACGGCAGAGCAGGCCAATCTTACAGGGATCAGGTTGACCAGTTTTATATTAAGCCACCACATATGTGCAGCACATGAGTGGCTGTTTAAAGAAAGCCTCTTACTTCCCCTCCCTCCCCCTCTTTGAGGGCTTATTTCTTTTGTCGTGTGTCATGGGGGCTGGCAGCAGGTTCAGAAAGTCTGAGCTCTCCCAGCTCAAGGTCACTGGGATTGTTTAAATATAATCTCCTTTTCTGTACTTTCTACTTTCCTACAACTTGCTATTCTGTCTTTCTGAAATTAAACTCCTGCGCAGCAGAGGAGCTTGGGCTTTGTGTGTGGGTGCAGCCCCTCGGGCAGGGTCTGTGTGAGAGCAGCCTGGGGCTGCAGAGCTGGCCCCTGTGGGGACCATCACAGACCAGTCAGCTCTGGGCAGAGAGGGACTGTGTCCCCCAAAGGGATGAGGCAAAGGAAGAATGCCCTGACACCTCTAAAGAGCTCAGTAGCTTGGCAACTTAAAAAATGATTTTCTGTGCAACCAGGAAGGCTTGAATCCTTGATCCAGCTTGAGGGTTGGTTCCTGCCATAGAGCAGGCACTGCAGAAAGCAGATCCCCAGCTGGGCCTCCATTCCAGCTGCCACTGGCTGTGCTGGGAAAGCTCTGCTCTCCTGAGGAAACCTTGGTGGCTCCCACTTTACCAGCTACCTTACTGACAGCTCTGATAAGTTCCTGGTTACCTGTGTGCATGAAAGCTCGAGAAGGGAGGGGTCCTGGCTGATGGGACTGGGGAGCTCCTGCTGGGATCTAGAATGATGCTCCTGCATGGTCTGTGTTGTTTTCTTAGGAGGGAATGGTGAGAGTGAGGAAATGTTTCAGGATAATTCAAAAATGGCATCGCTGTAATCCCACTTACTCTAACCCTGTGTAACAGTATGAAATAGGATAAATGTTTTTGTAAGACATTGGCTTTTCCTTGTGCTTAACGGGACACCACTGGCTTCCTGGCTCCAGGAGCACCTGGGCTGGGGTAGAAAGCTGTCTCCATGTGCCACTAAACCTTGATCCCTGTTTGTCCCTGTCTCCTTTAGAATGCTGGTGTCCCCTGAGGGCCTGGTCCTGCATGGCAGAACAAAGGTGGTTATGTGAGCAGGGAGAGGAACTCAGGGGTGCTGGGGACAGGACTGACCGTGAGAGAGACTTGGTGCAATTCTGGTGTTACCAGCCCAGCTCAGCTGGGCTCTCTGTGAGCAAATTGTGCTGCCTTCATGCTGGGGTGTTGGAATTGTGAAACACATTACAGCTCCAGCTCTGAGCATCTGGACCCCTGGGAGTTTTGTTTTTTGGAGTGTGATAGCAGGACAGGAATCCCAGGAGACAGATTTTGCACTATCTCTGTTTTTTCTGAATTTTATCCAAGTCATTCAGGAACAAGCTTTTAGGGGCAGTCTTATTCCTGCATCGTGGTGGTGCAGATGTGCAGAAAAATGAATAATACCCAGCATCAGTTGTGATGTCTGTGCTTTTGTTATTCTGCAAATATTAGTTACAGAAAAGAAAAGAAGAAAATCTACCCAAACTTCATTGAACTCTGGTTCTGCTCTGGTCCTGCTTCGTGCTTACCGCTCATTTAAATTCCTGGCCTTCCCTTGAGTCAGCTATGCTTTGTGTTTCATCCAGTTCAGGCCATGTGACAGAAGATGCAGGATGTGTTTCTTAGACTTCTGCCCTTTCTTAATTTATTCTTTTTCTTTGCTCCATGCCACAGTTACTAAAATTGGAAACTCTTTGTGTTGCCACCTACAAAGCTCTAAAGGTTGTGGCTCTTGAGCACTGTCACAGCTGGAGGTCCTGTGTAAGCTCTCAGAGCAGAAGTCTGGCTTAAGGAAGATGCAATTCTTAAAGGACATCCAACATATTCACGTGTGCTTTTGAGTCAGAAGTGGGGTTTAAGGACTAGAGGATTTCAAACTTTTTGTTTCATCAAGCAGTGAGACACACTTCTGAATTTCCCCTTCAAATAAAGGTCAAAGCCTTTTATATAGCTTGATTACAGAGTTGAAAGTTTAGGATAAAGGCCAAATATTGTGAAATTTGTGATCTCATTGTGAGAATAGGCAGCAGGGAGGTTTGTTTAGGCAGAACTTTTCAGGGAAGTTCCTGGGTATCTGGGCTAAGTATCCTGGGTTTGTTTATTAACCACAATTGCTGCAGACTTACATTGGAAACATTGGAATGGGGGAGGAGAGAGAGACACAGCTCAGTTCTGTGTCAGGAAATACCAGATCATTTTGTGCTTTCCAGGCTCTTGTATCTCTTGTGTCTGCCTGATCTGAACCTTATCACTGTGGGGCTTTGGTGTATTAAGATGTAGAAGGAGTTCTGCACTGGTATCTCTCCAGGCAGGATATGGGTAAGGCTGGTCCTCTGATGAAGGAAAAGCTGCTTGAGGAGGAGGCTGCTATCTTTGTCAAAACATTTCTTTTTTCTTCAAATAAAGGAGTAATTTTCCTCACTGTTTCTGCTGTTCACTTCGGCACTGAAAAGCCAAACATTCTTATCTGACACTTTTTCAGGTTTTAGACCTGTTTTATTTCTGGCTCTATTTTTAATGAAAAAGTTAAGTTTCATTAGTAGCTTTGCAAAAAATTTCCACAAGGGGAGAAGAGTATTTCGATCCCCTAGAATCCTAAGGGGAATAGCAGAGGCTGTCCAGTCCTGGAGGTGCAGAGCACACTCACACCCCAGGCAGGGCAGAGAGCAGCTGTGGGCACTGCTGGCCCTGCCAGAGAGGGGCACTGCCCAAAGGAGTGACACAGTGCCATGCTGAAAGTACAGGACAGGTGACACTCTTATTTGTACCCAGAGTAACAAAAAGGGTCTGGTCTTGTTTTCCTGCAGAGAATACCAGAGGAGCTGACCCTGGATGCCTTACTAGAAATGAATGAGTCAAAGGTGAAAGAAACAATGAAGAGATGTGGAGCCAGAGATGAGGAGTGCTCCAGGCTCAACGGGGCCCTGAGCTGCCTGCGGAAGGTGACAGAGTCAGGTACAGACTGCCTTGTTCTCCCGTGCAATTGGTGTCCTGGCAGCCCTGCCCCACTGCTGCCTTGCAGACACTGTTTGGGGATGCTCTGAACCCACAGTCAGTGTGTGGCTCTGGGGTGTGCTGATCAAACCTAGCTAGAGCTATCGATTGGGTTTGGACATGAAAGCAGATAAATACACTGAAATAAATGTATGGAGAAGCCTCTCCTACTCAGTGGACTATATCCCTATTAACTCTTTCTGTTCAGAGTTGTGTCTAATGCTCCAGGTCATTCTCCATGGGTCACTACACATCCTTGACTTACTTAAATACAACCAGATTCCTTGTAGATGATGCCTTCCCCAAATATTGCCAGCTCAGAGAAAAACCTTCCCAAAGCACTTCCACAGGCACTGTGAAATCTGTTTGTACAAGAGCCTCTCCCAGCAGACTGGTACTCACATGCACCACATTTTTCTTTGTAGCAGTTTTCAATCTGTCACTGAAAGGTGATGTTTCCTGTTGCTATTATGACAGTTCATCCATTTACAAATCATAAAGATTAGTTAGTGGAAAAAGTCAGCAAACAGCTCAGTCTCATATTTCCTTTTTCCTAATCTTTCTTGTCCCAGGCTGTCAAATATTTCCCATCCACACTATAAACCAGCCATTGCTCAGTAGTCATGGCATTCACCTCTTAGAACGAAATGGCATTTTTTAAAAACCCGGGTGTATGTCTCTCAAAAGCTCAGATCAGGCCCCGTGCTGAGTTTGGCCAGGCTGGGGCGGTGCTGAGGCTCAGGGGACATCATTGCCAGGGCAGTGGGCACACAGAGCCGGGCTCTGTGCCCTCCTGCCGGGGCCGGCACTAACACCGCTCTGTGTGACAGGAGGGGAGCCGAGGGACGATGTCCCGATGGCCCTGCCCGAGCGCCGGGACAGCTCCAGCTCGCAGCCGGACCCCGCCTGGTCCCCGTGTGCCCCGGCCAAGGGCAGCCAGCAGCAGCAGCCGCGCTCCGCGCCCACGGCCCCGCCCTGCGAACCGCCGGCCCCGAGCCACGGGCCCTGTCCCCCGGCTGAGACGCTGCTGGAGCCCTTCGTGCTGCCCCTAGCCGGGGGCAGGCCCAGGACTCCGCACAGCATCACCGTCACCCCCCCGGCCACGCCGCAGCCCAAGCGCCGGCACCGCCTGAAGCCTCCGCGGACGCCGCCGCCCCCCTGCCGCAAGGTGTTCCAGCTGCTGCCCAACTTCCCCACCCTCACCAGGAGCAAGTCCCACGAGTCCCAGCTGGGAAACAGGATAGACGAAGTTCCTCCAATAAAGTAAGTTCCCTCCCAGACTGGAGCTGGGGCTCTCCCCGGCAAAGGCTGCCCTAGCTGGGCAGGAAAGTTTTGGCAATGCAGCAACCTCAGGAGCCTGTGCAAAGCCAGAGGTGTCTGTAAACCTGACAGCACGTGCTGCAGGCAGCAGCTCCTGCTCTAGCTAAGTGTGTACATGTCACAGGAATACCAGTGCTTAAAAAAATATATTTTCTTCTTTCTAGGTTCGGTAAGAGATTCTCACTGGGGTGTCTGCAGTGCCTTGCTGAGAGAGAAGAACCTGTGCTTGCCAGCTCCCTGTTGGCCATCCCTGGGCAGCCAGGGAGGTTCTCCATGGGCCCTCCTATCCCAGAGCTTCTGCTAACTGAGCAGGAGCTTGGCCTGCCACAGAAGTGCAGGGTTTTACTTGGTTGCATCTGGTATTTTCTAAGATGACTCAATCAAGACAAAGGAATACCTGATGTTTCAAGGGTTATAGCCAGGGGAGTGCTTATCTGTGACCTCAGGCAGCTGGCACTGATGTCTCTTGGTACAGGAATTTCACATCTAACCATTTAGTGGCTTTGGATATGCATTCCCCAGTGTCTCTGCAATGAAGTTAAGACAGCTGTGTGCAGCTTTCTGAGGAAGCTGCAGCATGTGCTGGAATGTGGGATGTTCCCTCTGTGCTGAGGAGTCTGCTCATGTGGGTGATGGCTGGCAGGAGCAGGGCTGGGTTTCTCCAGGGCCACTGGGAGTTCTGGCCATGCTGAGGTGTGTCCCAGACACAACCTGTAACCTTGAAAGCTAATGGAGAGAGCTGAAGCAGCTTGGAAAGGGTCCAAAAGGATCCAAGTATTAAAAAAAAGTATGAAAGTCCAAATAAGGATATTATAGCACTGCATATATAGCTAATGCCCTTTAAAACAGAAATCTCAGGCATTGCTTTCAGAAATAGAAAGATTGTAAAATGAAAATGCCAGCAGAAATCTGAGCATTCCCTGGGGAGAGTGAGATAATTGGTGTGATAAATGAAAAAGCCATTGGAATAAATTCAAAGAGAAATGAAGGATTTTGGTGCTTCTCTCCATGTTCTGTTGGGTGGGTTGAAGTCTCTGCTGTGGGCTCTGGTGAGTCCCAGACAATCCCAAACTGGCTGATGCTCACTTGAACCCTTCAGTGAGGGTTTCACCATCTGACCATGTTAACAGCAGCTTTACAGCTGTGCTGGGATTGTCTGGATGGCCACACTAGACCAGCAGCATTCCTTGGAAAAGCCATTGCAGCCTTTGCCAAGAAGCTGAGCATCACAGATGCCTTTAGAAGCTCCCTGGACTAATGATAAAAAAGACTGTGGTGCCATCTATGGTCAAGTGAGGAGACTGGCTCTGAGCCAGCCCTGCTGCTGTGCTGACACTCGCACATTGGGCTTTGCCTCACATGTGCAGGATTTCTGTAGATTTAGGTCAGGAAATATGTCAGAATTCTGAGTATTGGAGGGTTTTGAGGCAGTTATGTGCTTTAACCACATGCTGGATTGGCATTTGGAAGTCTAGATCTCCCTTTGTGCACTTAGCAGCTAGTTAAGTGAGCCAACATGTATGTTTTTATTCTTCTGGGTCATGCTGGCCCTGTCTAGAAAATTGAGATAATTTTCAGTGAAATAGAATATTCTGAAATCTGCTGACACTGCAGGAAAACTGGGTGATGGTATTTGTGGTAAACCAATTGGGAGTAAACCCATGAGGAATGAAGTCTGACTTTCCACTTTAAGAATGGCTTAGACCTGATCAGATGGACTTCTGTAATCTCCTAATGTAAAACATCATGATTTATCCAATCATATGGAAACAAATACAAGAGCAACTTCACAGGGGACAAAGCAGTGTGAGCTGTGCTCCTGTGACACCTCATGGCTGGAGGTGCTGACCTGGGCAGAGACTGCTTGGTTTGTGTGCAGGGTGGTGAGCACATGTGAGCAATGCTTCCCTAAACCCTGCTCTTGTTCTCCACCAGAGCTCTCCCAGGGATCCCCCCAGACGGTACGAAGGGACTTTGGCCTGGCTGTGACCCACAGGTGAGAGCCCAGGGACTGGGGCTGGCTGTGACCCACAGGTGAGAGCCCAGGGACTGGGGCTGGCTGTGACCCACAGGTGAGAGCCCAGGAACAGAGCCCAGCAGCCCAGGCAGGGCTGTGGTGGCACAGGATTCTGAGATGGGTGTGGAGTTGGGTCGGGTGTCTCAGTTGTCAAGTTCAGCTCCCTACAAATGTTCATTTTCCCTTGGGCAGCAGCTAACATCAGTTTCCCCCTCTTGTCTCTGTTAGGTTCTCTACCAAGTCCTGGTTATCCCAGATTTGCCAAGTGTGCCAGAAGAGCATGATGTTCGGGGTGAAGTGTAAGTACTGCAGGTGAGCACACGGGGATGGTCTCCTTCAGAGCAGCCTGGGGCTGCACTCAGCACAGCCTGCAGTGACTCCTGTCTTTGATGTGATGAACTGCTAGCAGTGGCTCTGTTTCTTCAGTCCTTCTGACCTGGCAAAGGGATGCTCAGGTACAACTCACACTCGAAGTTGGCAGCCTGACACATGAATGAGCCGAACTTGTTTCCCTGCCACAAGCTTCCTACCTCATCCTGGGGAAATCTTGTAGTGGGAGCTGGATCCCTAAATAACAGCCAGGATATTAAGTTTTGCTTTTCTTTCAGCCTTGTTAGTCCAGAGCACTGAGATTTTACTACTTCACTGTTGCTGGCTGAGAGTCAGTGAAAGTAACTATTCAAAATAAATCAGATGCTGAGATATGTGTGTGGTTTTCATTAGCCTAATGACACACATAACAGGATTCTCCATACAAATGCCTGCTGCTTTGGGGCTGAGCATTCCAGGACTCCTTCTGAGATTAGCATAAGAATTACAAATTAAGGGTAGGCTTCCTCTTTTTGGGAAAGAACAAGTTGCTATTTAACATGTAATGGTTATCTTTCAGATTAAAATGTCACAACAAATGTACTAAAGAGGCACCTGCTTGTAGACTATCCTTCCTTCCCAGTAAGTAATTTTCTACAAATTTTTGACATTTCAATGTAATTGATGGTATGGAAAGAATAAAAAGACTCATTAAAGCTGTTTTTCTCCCTCCTCCAATCTGTTTTTCAGTAACAAAAATAAGAAGAACAGAGTCTGTCCCGTCTGATATCAATAATCCAGTGGACAGACCCACAGAACCCCAGTTTGGAACTCTCCCCAAAGCACTAACTAAAAAGGTATGAAGTGGCTGAAGTGTGTCCTGAGTTCCTGGGGAGCTGCAATAGGGGGAGCTTGGATCTCACTGGTTGGAGCCAAAACAGCACCTTGAGCTTTCACTTTGCAAGACTTGGATATGTGACATTTTCCTGTAAAACAGGGTTGTGCAGAGCTCCAGGTGCTCCCTCAGAAAAGCAATGCCACCATCAAGCCTGGGAACAGCTCCCCTGTTCCAGCAGACACTGAGGGGAGCTCCTCCTTTCTCTTCATTGTTTTCTCACCAGTGACTTTCCCTGCTTTGCAGGAGCATCCACCAGCAATAAACCACCTGGACTCCAGCAGTAATCCTTCTTCTACAACCTCATCCACCCCATCTTCCCCAGCACCTTTCCAGTCTTCCAACCCTCCCAGTGCGACGCCGCCCCCAAACCCATCCCCCATGGGCCAGAGGGACGGGAGGTTCAACTTCCCAGGTAAACTCCTCTCTGCAAGGAGAGGCTGCCCAGGAATTCACAGGGACTTGTAGCTTTCTGAATACATGGCTGTGCCTTAAACAAGGTGTAAAAGTATATCTTATTATCTGATAAAATGAAAATGTCTTTCTTACAAGTTTTTAAAGGGTATCAGCAAGATACCTTTGCAGGAAACAGATTATTGAGGAATGTTTCTCCTTTTCCTTTTTGGAAAAGGGCTGAAGAAAAAGCTGTATTTTCTCCTCCTTTTCCCTTTGTGTTGTACAATGCATGCTGCCTGCAATGTGTGCTCACTAGGGGCTTTCACTCAGGAGGGAGGTGCTTGCTGTAAAAATGAGAACTGGAATGAATTACTTTATCAGACCCTTCCAAAATATAACTCAAAATCAACACTTATTTTTAAACCACTGTCAAGCATAACTGGTGGAGAGTTTACCCTTCATGCCCAATGGATTGAGAGCCCCAGTGTGCAGCTTTAACCAGAGCTGAGAGGGGCAGGAATCTCTGACAAGGGCAAAGATCTAAACAGTGAGAATAAATGTAATTCCTTTGACCTGAATTGAAGTCACATGGTGCTCAGTAGCTGCTGCATCTGGCCTTCAACACTGCTGAATTTTGCATCAGCTTCTGACCTGTGAACTCAAGTTGCTGTTTGAGCCTGCTAAAAAGGACCAGAGGCAGCTCAGTGTAAGGATTCCATTGCTGCTACTTTGCATTCAGATTCACTGAAAAAATAAAAAAGGCAGATGGTTTATGAGCTTCAGCTTCTGTGGGGGCACCTCTGCAAAGCTGAGACCTGAGAGCACATCACATCACATCACAGCTGATGTGGGGCTGCCTTGTACATTCCTGGGCTCTCCCTTTGCTCCTGCCCCTGGGGATCCAAGTGTGGTGTTTGCCCACCAGGCTGTTTGAGAGAGGTAGCACAGCTTGTGTTTGATACCTGTCATCTGTCAGGGCCCTCCCAAAATGCATGTGCTGAAATTCCCCCCAGCAGGCTGATAATCCACTAATCTGTTCCCAGCAGTGACCTGGGACTAATGCATTGAATGCACATGAGGCACTCACTGATGATCCTCTAACTTGTTTGTGTTGTTTTGTTTTTTTTTTTCTCCTGGTTTTTTTTTTGCTGTTCCTTTTTTACAAAACCCCAATTAATTAAAAAGCTGCCTACTACCTTCAGCATAGACAACAGTTTATCTTCCCAGGTGAGTTGATTGTTTTAATTCTACTAATCAACTTCTACTGCCAAAACATAACTTGTTTGTAAAACCTCTGCATGCTGCCCAAGAACAATCATTCTGCTTTAAAAAACCTGTCTAAAACATTCCAGACCTTTTCTTATCTCTGTGTGTACTCAAGGCCTCTCTCCCCTAATCTGAAGTAGTGACATGATTTATGTATTGAGATGGAACTTTGAATATTTAGCTGTAGAACATTCGTTTCCTGCTATGAGATTCTATCCACATCCATGTTCTTCCTTTCTAAAGACTCACTTTTATGGCTCTGTGCCTGGCCAAAAGGACTTTACAGATAGGTAGGGAAAATGGAAGAGGACTGGGCTCAGCCAACATGAAGGCATAGGAGAGATGAGCATAGTTTTAAATCGGTGAAAGTATAAAATCACTTGTCTGTGGTTGAGTTTATAATTCCTAAATAAGAAGCAAATAGTTGCTATTGCAATGTTTAAACTTGCAGTCTATAGGAGATTGAAGTGTAAAAGAGGTATCATAATTGTTTCTACTTTCCCAGAAATTCCCAGTCCTGCACAAACAGCACAGCTTCCAGAAACTGCTGCAGACACTAAGTAAGTAGAATTTTAAATCCTTTCATTTGCACAGCATTTACTTGGTACTCCTCAGGTCAGCACAGAAGTGCTGTGTTATGGCCAATACCAGATGTAACAGCTGAGAATTCCCAGTGTGACTTTAGTCAGTGAGGGTGATGCTGGTATTCCCAGTTTTATAAAGCTGAATATGACACTTAACTCCGAATGGCACACTAAGGAGTCCAAGCCTTTACTTTCTAGTCCTGGTTGTGTGAAGTGTCAGATGAAACAGAAGTTGGAGTTTTGTAACTCGAAGGACACAGCACACTGAGCTGCAAGCAAACAGCTCCTCCAGGATCCCAAGTGCAGGGCATGGAAACGCTTCCAGCCTGCATTGCCAGGTGCTCCAGGGGCAGGAATGGGAGTATTTATTCCTGGAACACAGTGTAATAGCAGAGCCATGCCACTGCCAAATCAATTCTGGACACTTAATTATTAAGAATCGCTTCCAAGCCTTTGTCCCTCATTTGCCAAAGCGAGCTTAGAGTCCTTCTCTTTTACATGGAGCAGGAATTGTATTTTTCTCTGACCTCTGTAACTGTCAGGATGTGTTCTGTATTGGCTTCTGCTGCTGCCCTAATGGCAGCACAGGCCCCGTTCCCCAGTGATGTTCTCACTGTTTGTGTTGCAGTGCTGCCCAGCAGCCGGGCACGGGCGGAGGCGTGCGGGAAGCACAGGTGGGTTTGCTGGTTTGCCCTGGAGTCCCTGAGCAGCCTGGGCTGCTCTGCCCCCCGGGAGGGACTCTGAGCACTCCTTTCCCTTCCCTTGTTGTGGACAGGTGGAGGAACCAGAGGCGAGCAAGTCGGAGGCCGAGGATGATGAGGATGAGGTGGAAGATCTGCCCAACCGGCGGCCGCACCTGCAGGGGATGATCTACCGCAAACCCAGCCAGACCAGCGTGTACCTGCAGGAGTGGGACATCCCCTTCGAGCAGATCCAGCTGGGGGACCCCATCGGCCAGGGCCGCTGGGGCAAGGTCTACAAGGGCAAGTGGCACGGGGAGGTGGCCATCAGGCTGCTGGAGATCGATGGCAACAACCAGGATCATCTCAAGCTCTTCAAGAAGGAGGTGATGAACTACAGGCAGACCCGGCATGAGAACGTGGTGCTGTTCATGGGGGCCTGCATGAACCCCCCTCACTTAGCAATCATTACCAGGTAAGGAAAGAGCTCCTTCTGTTGCTTCTAGATATGTATTGTAGAGCTAGCTAATACTGTTCTCACATATAAACATTTCCTGTAGCTTCTGCAAAGGAAGGACGCTGCACTCCTTTGTGAGGGACCCCAAGATCTCCCTGGACATCAACAAAACCAGGCAGATAGCACAGGAGATCATTAAGGTAAGGGCTGGTTATGCCAAGGGAGCCACTGGGTAGGGCCTCAGCCAGAGCTCAGAGCTGCACACGGGACTGGGAGCTGCTCCCTCAGCCTCTCCCACACCTTCCTGCACCAGTCCCACAGGGGCCCTGCCCCCAGTTACAAGTAATCCTTGGCACTGGACTTGGGAAAGGAAATGTGTTAGAAAGCAGAGTGTCTTGGAAATAATAAAAACCCAAAACCATTTCCATCTCTGCTGTGTTTCCCAGGGCATGGGGTATCTCCACGCAAAGGGGATTGTACATAAGGATCTGAAATCCAAAAATGTCTTCTATGACAATGGGAAAGTTGTCATCACCGACTTTGGATTATTTGGAATTTCGGGTGTGGTTCAGGAAGGAAGGTAAGTGGACATTTCAGTGCTTGGTTCCACCTCTAGAATGACAAATGGTCAAATAGGGAAACATTTCCTGCAGTGCAGGAAGTGTCCATTGGTTTAGTACACACTCAGTTTGCATTGTGCATCTTTGCTTTGTTTTCCTTTTGAGCAGAGTTCACCCTACAGTTGCAGTAGCACAGCTAGAGGGTTTGGATTAAGACTCAGAGCACAGGACAAACAAGACCTTAAGGCCAGGGAGGAGCTGTAAGAGTCAGGCTGACACGTGCCTATTTGTTAACTTGGCTAGAAAATTAGAAACAAAACATCAGCGAAGACATTGGAGTAAATAAAGCCAAAGCCTCGGGTACAGCATAGATTTGGCCTCCACAGCAATGCTTTAGTCCTGCTTCTTTCTTTTGGACTCAGGAGGGAGAATGAACTGAAGCTGCCTCATGATTGGTTGTGCTACCTGGCCCCTGAGATTGTCCGTGAGATGGCCCCAGGGAAAGACGAAGACAAGCTGCCTTTCTCCAAAGCTGCAGATATCTATGCCTTTGGGTAAGAAAGGAACACCCAGGAATGTCATGAGGGCTTGCTAAGTGAGACTGGCTACTGGCCTGAGCCTTCCAGTCAGTGCCCCCTTCTCTCAGACTCAGGAGTCCAGCTGGCACAGTGCCAGCCTGGGGTATTTTGGCAGGGCTGACAGGTTTGTTGGCATTGCAGGACCGTGTGGTACGAGCTGCAGGCACGGGAGTGGCCGTTCAAGAGCCAGCCTGCAGAGGCCCTCATCTGGCAGATCGGCAGCGGCGAGGGAGTGAGACAGGTCCTTGCCACTGTCAGCCTGGGCAAAGAGGTCAATGTAAGTAGCTCAGCTGCAGGACTCCCTCCTACAGCTCTTTGCCAGGGAGGGAGGGGGCTGCTTCAAGAGATTTACTGTAACTTGGGAGAGAAAGGGCAGGAAAGAGAACAGATGAGAATGAGAGATCGGGCTAAGCCTGTGCCCATAACTGTGGTGCAGAAGGGAACATCCCCAGCATGGGACACTCTTGGATTTTGACAGTGTCCTCTGTGAGCAGTATCCCAGTGCTCAGACAGTTTGTGGTCTGCACAGCTCACCCATGAACTGAGATCATGAGGCACCACTGTCCTCTGCAGGAAATCCTCTCTGCCTGCTGGGCCTTCGATGTCAGCGAGAGGCCGAGCTTCACTGTCCTCATGGAAATGCTTGAAAAGCTGCCAAAACTCAACCGCCGGCTCTCGCACCCAGGGCACTTCTGGAAGTCTGCTGAGTGAGTACCTGCTGCTGCCCACAGCACTGCTGCCATGCCATTTGCTAAGTGATCATTTCTGAGCTTTATTTGCTTTCCTGGGGTTGTCAGACCTCTGGTTCCTGGGAAATGATGTGACTAAGCCACGAGCCTCAGACAGTTAATTCCCTACGTTACCATATTCAGCTCCCTGCAGCAGCTGACTGATCCCCCTGTTTGGTGTCAGAGAATATCCACAATAGCAGTGGGAAGGGCCCACAGTGACCCTAGAGTGGTGAGAACTTCCCCTATGATGGTAATGGCAGGTACTGCCTGAGGAGGGGAAGGACCCAAGAAGAGGCCCCTGTGAAGTGGTTCAGACTGGATGGGTTTGAGGCCAGACATCTGTGCCCAGTGCCCATTGACCATGTCCTTGGCTCAGTGTTCCTTTTCATCTCCTGCACTGCTCATATTTACTTTCTCTTTGTTCTGATGTTTAACCCACCCCTTCTCTTCCTATAATCCTTCACCCTCTTCCTGCAAGACCTGATCAGAACCATCCAAACTCTTGACACAGGAACTGTCGTGGCAGTTTGGTCTCTGCTGGGTGTAGGGGCTTTGGAGTTTTGGTTGAACACTTTGCCACTTCTCCTGTGCAATTTCCCCCACATATGTACTGGATCCCTGACACACCAGTGAGGTCCAACAACTCTAAACTGCAGGAAACTTTCCCCAGACTCAGGCCTCACCCTCACACAAAGAACATGCACTGAGTTCCCCCACCTCACCCAGATCCTCTCACACACTGCACTAACCCCTGCTGCAGCCTGCTCCAAGCTGTACAGTGTGTAGTTCTCAAGGGCTTGCTTTAAATAACTGAAAACTAACTCTCATGGTCTTTTTCCCTTCCCTCCCATATTTCTTTGTAGGTTGTAGCTACTGGTGCAATAACGGGCTCCACCTTGCATGCTTCCATGTGTCGTATCCTAACCGGCAACTTGGACAATCACCTTCCATTAAAAAAGCAAAAACAAACCACGAAATTAACCCATGGACATAATCAACACTTTATCCGAGTTCTTCTCTCTGCCTTTTGCTTGGTGTGGGCTGTAGCTTCAATAACCACTCCTGTCTGCGAGACCTTCCTGGCTAACACCGGCTCCTCTGCCCCGGAGGCTGCAGCAGCTGGGACCCCTCCTGGAGGGCACAGGGACCTGCTCTGACTGACCAGGTGCACACCACAGCCAGGGCCACAGGGTGTCCTGCCTGCAGCTCTGGGCTGGCCCCAAACTGCTGCCCCTCGTGTCCTGCGAGGCCCCCGGGCCCCCCTGGGGCCGTGTCCTCTGTGACTGCCGGTGACAGGGACATTGTCACAGCACTTGCACTGCAAACAGCAGGAGCTGAGGTCAGACCAGTTCTCCCTCAGGCCCAGAGACAGCGCTGGAGTCAGGGTCAGTTCTTGAGTGGAAAGAAGGACGGTCCTTGCTCCACTTGGAGCAGCTGAGGGTCCTTTGCCCACTGAGAACCAGGCTGGGGCAGTGTCCAGAGCAGGCCCACGTGGCTGAGCTGGGATCAGCTACAAAGGCCAGTAAAAGAGGAGGAAGGCAAGAGCACCCTTCAGCTCCAGTGCTTGGAATGTTGCAGTTTGCTTCTGTTTACATCCCTGGGCAGCAGAACGACTCAGTGTAGGGCCTTGGCAGAGTCACAGCTACCACAGCAAACATGTGCCTTCTAGAAAAGCTCTTTTCTCACTGTTTGGAGGGGAGAGGACAGGGACAGAGAACACACACCAAGAGGGTTTCTGCTGTCTGAGGACAAGCTCCCACGTCCAGTCCCTGAGCCTCCTCAGGAAAGCTCTGAGCTGAAAGTGCTTCTGGCACTGCCAGCAGTGTGAAAGCAAGGGAAGAGACACCTTTATGTGTTTGTAGAGCCTGGGGAGGAGCAAATGGGTTTGGGTTTGTTCCATTGGGGTTTCTTAACCCTTCATGTACCTTGTCAAAACTCTGCTTTCTCTTACAAAGAAAATCCTGTCAGTTTTTCCTTCCCTTCTACTTAAAGGGAAACAAGCACCCACTGAAAACTCATGTCAGGCTTCTACCCATGGTAGAGACCTGGGAAAACTTCCTGCTCTTCCCCCTTGGGCAAGGCAGATTGTGCAGTTGGTTTCCACTGATGAGATTTCCATTAATAACTTCATGTGCTTGCTACTGAATTACCTGAGCATCTCTTGGGTGATCTGAAGTGATGTGAGAGCAGAACCAAACTCATTTCAGCTCCTTGGATAGGGCAGTAGCTTTGTAAGATGAATCATCAGTAACTGTTTCCCCCTCCCTTCTCCCCTCCCTCCCCACTCTTTGCAGCATTAACAGTAGCAAAGTTGTCCTGCGTTTTGAAAGATTTGGCTTGGGAATCCTGGAACCGAGTAACCCAAAGCTGTAGCCCGGTGTCATTGTGCCCATGGTGGCTGCCTGCTCCCACACAGCACCAGAAACCAGAAACCCTCCCTGGCTCCTCCACGCCGAGCCTGGTGCAGCCCCACTGAAGACCATCAGCTCAGCCCCGTGTCCTGCCTGAGCACCAGCAGTTATTTAAACAATGTTTACATGATACTTTTGTGTGAACTATATTTTTTTAAGCATAATAAACAGTGAATCAAGTTGAACTACAGCCATTCTCAAATAGCACTGAAAAAGAGAAGAGCTGTTTCTGGTTCCTCCTGGTGTCCGTGGTCAGGAGGAGCCCCTCTCTGCCTGCAGGCAGGGTCCCCCGGGCACTGCCCCACTGTGACGTGGCTCGTGTGAGGTGTTGGTCAGGTCTCTCCTGAAGGTAGAGCCCAGCCTGCTGCACTGGGACTTGCCCAAACCACTCCTTGTTTCAGCAGAGCTGCTGCAGGTGAGTGTCTGGCCATGGGGGCTGGCTCTAGGTAATGACTCAAGTGCTCTTCTCCACAGAACTCACACTAAAACCTGCTCCTTCTCATACAGTCCCAGAGGAATTAAGAATTGCTGGCCTTAAAAAATAAACTCATGACTTGTCACTGCTCTGCACAGGGACCAAATTGATTTTTTGAAGTTCAGGCACAATTTCAAGTGCAGGGAGAGGCAAGAGAGACAGGACAAGGGAAAAGCTGTCCCTAAATAATGCATTAATTAAAGCCTTGATGCACAGAGCTCCAGAGCCCCTGCACACACACCCAGAGCGTTGCCACTGCCTACAGTTGAGCTTGCAAGTTCTTTGTTTGACAAACACAGGACTAAAGCAAATGCTTTGAGGGAGAAAACCTTTAAGAGGGGCAGAAGTCTTGTAACCAAGAAGGCAATATCTGGGCCTGGAGGCTCTGCCTGACCCCAACAGCCCAAACTTGTCTCAGAGGTTAGTTTTAAAACCAAAGCCCAGCCTCCCCTCCAGTGCAGTGTGGGGGTTATGGAGGTGACAGATGTATCATCCCTCTTGCAAATCAATTGCAGGCCCTGTTACCAGAGGCTGCCCTTTCCCCACCTGGGCTCGGGGGATCCTCTGTGAGCAGGAAAAGCACCAGGCCTCAGTTTGGCTGCCTTGTGTGAGGAGCTGAGTGGGACAAACCTGAGTTCTGTTGAGCAGAGAGCCTCAGTCCTGTGTGCAAGTCAGTTGTAGCCTCTTACAAGTGTTGGCAAAGACTCTTTAAATGTGTCTCAGATCTAAAAGAGAAATGGGTTTGGCATGGGCAGGCACTGCAGTGCTGTCCTGATCCCTGTCCCCCTCGGGCCCTGCTGCTCTCACTAACGGGGTGGGGCAGAAGTTGCTTTCCCCGAGTGCTGGTTAATTAAGAGCAGCACAACGCAAACGCAAAGCAGGGAAAAGGTGCTGCCCCTCGGCTGGAACCGTGCGTGGGCTCCTGCCTTAGGGAGGGCAGGGCCGGAGCTGTGCTGGATGCAGACTGGCCACGCTCAGTCCGTGTCCAGGGCAGCAGCAGCCTCGGGTGCTCCTCACTCAGTTTTTGGGTGCACAGAGCAGGCCCGAGAGCTGGGACACCCCGAAGGTTCTGTGTGGGGTCAGTGGCCCGGCTGTGGCGAGCACAGAGTGACCCTGGGTCACCCCGGGCAGGGCAGGCGCTGTGTGTGCAGCCCTTTGTGTCCTGCCGTGCCCCAGGCCAGGGTGGGATGTGCCCCTCTGGAACAGCCCCCGCTCCAGTCCTGGCGCAGGGATTGTTCACAGCTTCCCTTAGCGGGGACACGGGGATCCATCCTGACCGGGGGGGACACCCAGAAACTGCCCTGGAACACAAAGCTCATCCTGGGCCCCAGCGCAGCCGGAGGAGAGACCGGCATTGTCTGGGGGTTGTTTTTGTTGTGGTCAGCCCGGGGGGCTCTGGGGCCGCTCGGAGCTGCCCCAGCCCCGCACACCAAGCCACAGTCCCTGGGTTGTGTTTGTGTCACAGTCCCGCCCGCGCTGTCCCGGTGGAGCTGTCAATGTGACAATGCCGTGCAATGCTGCTACAGGAGCCACATGTCAGTAGTGAATGTAAATGGTTGTAACATGGTGAACATGGACACGTTTTCTTTTCAAATGTGATGTAAACTTTGTACAGTACAAATTTTTTTTTATATTTTCTATGAACTGAGTGTCTTCCAGAATTGCTATTAAATTAATTACAAATTGTTAGAATTAACAACAGTTTCTGTATTAGTTTATGCAACCAGGAAAAAAAAAAAAAAAAAGAGTGCACTCTACGCTACTGGAATTCTGGATATGTAGGAATCTTTTCAGTGAATAAATCTTTGGTCTGGGTAAAGCAAGTGTTGCCGAGTCCTGGTTTGACCTTCCCAGCTGAGCCAGAGCAGAGCAGACTCCCACAGACACCCCCCAGCACAGCAGCTCCTGCACCCCTGTGCTCCCTGCCCTCCCCCTGAGCGACACCAGGTCATCTCCCTGCACAAGTCCACTGCAAACACCAAATTACCCTCCCAGATGCAATGAGTCACATTATTAAATAGGTAATGAAGCCACCACGGAGTTTTCTCGACGCACGGAGCTGTTTAAGGAGCTGCTGCCCTCCCAAAAGCAGCACTTGAGGCTGTCCTGGGACCCCCAGCACCTTCTCTGTCCTTTGCACAAGGTCCTGCCACCACCTCCCACCAGCGGAGCGGGGCAGGGCTGTGCCAGACAGCCCCAGCTCTGCACCCTGGAAGTGCCACGGGCGGCTGTTAATTACCATGAACCCCAGGAAGGTTCGGCTGCTGCCAGCAGCTTTGTTCTGCAAACAACGGCGGCTTTGTGCTGTCCTGCCAGGAACGGCCCAGGGCATCAGAAAGCCGAGTTCTACATCTCACCCATCTTATCTACATCTCACACACAAACAGTAAAAAGCTTAAGATAAGTTGAGCTTTGTTGTCTTTCATAAAGAATAAGAGATAACAAATTTAATTCCCAATTATACTTGAAGGGCAGAGGTGTTTCATTTAACAAACCAAACCACACAAACTCCAGTCCCCAAGCACAAAGGCCCTGCCCCGGCTGTGACTGGAGCAGTTTGATGTTTCCCTGCTCAGTTGTACCCCAGCACATCGGGGTCCCTCTGCCCTGGGAGAGCCGCAGCAAACAGGACAGGAGCAGCCAGCACACACCCCCAAGGGAGACACAGCCAGCACAAAGGGAGCCTTGGCAGCCCCAGGCAGCTGCACTACAACACCCAGTGGGGCTTTTAAACCCCCACAACCAGACAGGAACATTTCACCAGCCCAGCTGGGTGCTCAACAGCAAAACATCCCAGAGCAGCCACGGAAACGGGGTTCACTCAAAGGAGACACCAAATAACTCACAAAATACAGCTCAGGCCACAAATGAACTGGAATAGGATCTAAGAAAGCTGGACACACCACAGCTGGCTTCATCCTCAGAGGTCAGGATTACAGCCTGCTCCTCCTCCAGCCCTGGCTCCCAGCAGAGTTACTGGGGCAGGCAGAACCCCTCGGCACACGCCAATACAACACAGAATTACCAAAATTCCAAAGAAAAGAAAAAGCCTTTCACCTACCTGGTCTCACTGTCTCCAGAGCTCAGCAGCCATGCACATCACCCCAGCACAAAAAGCATCTGCCAGGCCTTGCCCCACAGCCCTGGCTGTCCCCTGTGAGCCCCAGGAGTCCCTAACGAGCCCCAGGTGTCCCTAATGAGCCTCAGGTGTCCCTAACGAGCCTCAGGTGTCCCTAATGAGCATTAACCGTCGTCCATCCCCCCGCCCCTGCCTGGCCCCACCAGCCCCACGTTTCCTGCATTTCCCTGACGAAGGGCCCGACCTTCTATCCCCTCCCTGCACTGTCTATACTTCTGTTCCTTTTCCTTCAGTTAATAATGTCCTGGAAATCAGGCTTGAAGTATATCCCAATGTCAGACTGCTCCCCAAAGCTCAGGAATGCACCCTGTGCACTCAGGGGTGGAGGGCAGCCAGCAGTGTTCCTGTGCTGCCAGCCTGGGACTCTCACAGCAGCCCCAGTTCAGCCCAGCTCCTGGGGGTTTTACCAGCACCCAAAAACAGCTACAGAACCAGGCTAAGAGCAAGGTCTGCCTGCACCTCAGTGCCCTGGCACACAGCCCGTTCTGGATGCCGAGTTCCCTTAAAGCCGTATAAACTTGGTTTAATTGTCAATGAAACAAGCCACTAATTGCTCCAGAAACTGTTAATCTGTAACTCCCAGTCCAGTCCCAGCTCCTATGGCCAAGGCTGTCCTGAAACACTGCTCACACATGGCACTGCTGACTTTTGAGTCTCAACTCTACCTTCATCAGATTCCAGCTCCTGAAGACAAGGGATGACAGGAAAATCTCACCTTAAGCTTTTTTAATATGCTTATATAGCCCTGGTAATTTCAGAGAAGGAACTGGTTCTGATATAACTGCAAGGCCTAGAAAGAGCCCAGGTGCAAATACAACGAGGGCAGTTTAAAGCCAGTCTCACTCCCTGGCTCTAACTCACACTTGCCTGGCAGTAACAAAAATGCAAAACTGATCCTAGACAGACTGCAACTCCTGGAGATGCCCTTAGCTCAGGGAGGAGCCTTGGCTGGAGCCCAAACCCACCTCACCACAACCTCTGCCTTTGCAGGCTGGAGCCAAGAGCAAGAAGAGGTTCACTGATCCACACACTTAAGTCTCAATATAAAGGCAGATTTTATTACAAACAAATCAAGTGAACCAGAGCATAGAATCCAAATGTACAAAGTGCTTTGGAATTTTTGGAGTCTTCCTGCTATAGGCTCTGTAACAACAACAACAGCTGAGGTTCATGTACCTCACTCCCACAAAGCAGAATTCACCACTGCTACCTGCTGAGCAGATACATCTGAGGTGGATGCAGGTGTTGCCACTTGGAGACCAGCACATTTTTATCTCATTTGCAAACACTGCTCCAGATCCAGGCACATGGCCAGACAACTCCCAGCAACA